TAAAAAGAGAGGTGCATAGGTTGGGTGGTTTTCAACGAGACAGAATTCACATCGATGAGCGGCTAGGTCATGAGGTTGGTTCGCGACTTGCAGGACGCGCAGTAACTTTTTTTTTTGGGGGCGGGGGGGGGGGTGCACGCGGGCCCTTTGGGATGCAGTAGCTAGCAACGAGGAAAACAACCAGGGAGACACTTTGACAGGTGGTATGGACAGATACGATTCCAATGTGGCACCCGAACTCTACCTATCTGCCCCGGACTCTACCTATCTAAGATAGGTAGAGTCCGGGGCAGAAATAGACGTAGCCACGAGCGCCGAGCCAATTCAGACATAGGGTATAATATCTTGCAGGGTGGCAGGAACAGGCTGAAGTGGGAAGAGATAGAAGAACAGCTAAGAGTGGAGAGGCCGATGGTATACGGTTTTGTAGAAACACATCTTAGGGACATGGAACAACCTCCTAACAATCCGGACTACGCGTGGGAATATTGTAATAGAACAGAGGGCAGCAGAAAGAGGGGGGGGGGGTATTGGAGCATTCATTCATAAAAGTACAGACTGACAAAGGGTCAAGCAGGAGTGCAAGGAACATTTATGGCTAAAAGGGAAAGTGGCAGGGCAAATGACACTCCTTGGTTTGGTGTACTTGTGGACGGCAGCAAAGGCCATAGAGGAAAACCAGGCAATGGTAGAGTGTATATCAAAGGACATTGAGTAGTTAGGAGGAGAGTGCGAGATAATTATACTAGGAGATATGAATGCGCCCATAGCAGATATAAATGGGTATACCGACCCGACAGGCAAAATGATCATGGATATGTGTGAAAGCCATGATTTGATCATTTGCAACAGTACCAAGAAGTTTAAAGGGCAAATAACATGGGAGGTAGGAAGGCTGCAGTCGACGATAGATTACGCACTGATGTCACATGGGATGTATGATAAGCTCAAGGGAATGCACATAGATGAAGGTGTCTCCAGAAGTCTGGGTAGTGATTACGAATGTATCAAGCGAAGTTTTGTAAGAGCAGTGAAAGTGGGAAGGAGACAAGATGAGCAACTACAGGAAAATTTTTATTCAGAAAGGCAAATAGAAAAAGCTACTAAACAAATTGAGAAAGTAATCACTGAGGATAATAAAACAGTTTGGACATACACGAATATAATTAGACTGAGCTAGATCTTGCTAAGGCACGTGACAAGTCACCCCGAAAAGAAGACACAAACCCAACAGTTGGCGGGATGAGGAAGTTAAGAGAGCCATAGCAAAACGTCAGGAAGCCTCCAGGGAACACAGACAGGCTAAGCAGCGGGGTGAACCGACAGATGATGTTGAAAGAAAAATGGGAAATCTTTCTAAGCTGTAAAAGGAATGCATCCCTTCTGATAAATGAAAAAAAATTAGAAGAAAGGAAGCTCAGTGGCTAGCAGAAGTACATAAAAAAGATAGAAAGGCAGCTGCGAAATTTCGGAACCATCTAAACTCCCTAAGGTTCCAATGGCGGCCTGTCCGGATCCAGAGATTCTTAGCACCCTGGAACCTGAACTTGGCAATGTTTAATGCTGGAACCTGATCTAGTGAGGTAAGTCTAGCTGTACTATTTGAGGAGCTAGAGGGTGTTAAATGGGATATAATAGGGCTCAGTGACGTTAGGAGGACAGATGAGGCCTATACGGTGCTACAGAATGGGCACGTTCTTTGCTATCGGGGCTTGGCTGACAGAAGAGAACTGGGAGTGGGGTTCCTAATTCACAGAAACATAGCTGGCAACATAGAGGAATACTATAGCTTTAATGAAAGGGTGGTAGGTATCGTAATTAAACTGAATAAGAGATACAAGATGAAGGTGGTACAGGCTTATGCGCCTACATCCAGCCATAATGACGCTTCAGTTGAAAGCTTCTATGAAGACGTGGAATTGGCAATGAGTAAGGTAAAAACACAGTATACAATACTGATGGGAGACTTCAATGCAAAGGTAGGGAAGAAGCAGGCTGGAGACCAGGCAGTAGGAGATTATGGCATCGGTACTAGAAACGCCAGAGGAGAGCTACTAGTAGAATTCGCAGAACGCAGTAATTTATGGATTTCAAATACCTTCTACCGAAAGCGAGGAAACCGCAAGTGGACATGGAGGAGCCCTAATGGCGAAAATAAGAACGAAATAGACTTTATAATGAGTGCACACCCAGGCATCGTGATTCAACCACGAGATTGAAAAAACTAGAATAATAAGAATGGGGTGGAGCACATTTGGCAAGCACTATCAAATTATGACAGGTAGATTGCCACTATCCCCCTAGAGAAAGGTATATTACAGCTGTATCTTGCCGGTACTTAGCTACGGAGCAGAAACCTGGAGACTCACAAAGAGGGTTCAGCTTGATTGAGGACGACGCAGCGAGCAATGGAAAGAAAAATGGTAGGTGTAAACTTAAGAGACAAGAAGAGAGCAGAGTGGATTAGGGAACATACGGGGGTTAAGGATATCATAGTTGAAATCACGAAGAAGAAATGGACATGGGCCGGGCATGTAGCGCGTAGACAGGATAACTGCTGGTCATTAAAGGTAACTAACTGGATTCCCAGAGAAGGCAAGCGGGTTAGGGGGAAACAGAAGATTAGGTGGGCAGATGAGATTAAGAAGTTTGCGGGTATAAATTGGCAGCAGCAAGCACAGCACCGGGTTAACTGGCGGAACATGGGAGAGGCCTTTGTACTGCAGTGGACGTAGTCAGGCTGATGATGATGATGATGATGAAACTCCCTAAGAAATGAGACGAGCCTAGAGCAGACGTTTATAACTACAGCTCAAGGTGCTAGGCTAGAAGGGGACGAAGCTATTGAATATATAAGAACAAGGGTGACAGAAAAATTTCAACAAAGAAGTGCTTTATGCACCACAATAGACAAGGATGAATCAAGTGGCGCATTGACTCCATTTTCACAACGAGAGTGGGAAAGGGCTAAGAAGAGGGTTCCTAGTAGTACATCAACAGGCCCAGATGGCATTTCATTTACGCTGATGAAGACATTAGGTCCGAAGTCTAAGCAGGCTTTGAGAGAGGCAGTGAGCAAGATAATTATCGATGGTGAAGTCCCCGATGAATGGAAACTTAGCAGGATGAGCATGATCTATAAAGGAAAGGGGACAAAGCTGACATAAACAACTACCGTCCTATAACAGTGACATCAGTGGTCTACAGGCTGGCGATGCAGATTATAAAGGAAAGACTGCAGGCATGGATAGAGGATGAGGCGGTGCTGGGGGAACTGCAGAATTGGTTTCGGAAGCACAGGAGGTTGGAAGACAATCTGTTCTCACTGACGCAGTGCATAGAAATAGCAGAAAAGGAACACAGGCCCCCGTGGCTAGCATTTTTGGATATCAAGGGAGCGTACGATAACGTGGTTCAAGAGGACTTGTGGGGAGCACTGGACACACTATATGTGTGGAAGATGGAGTCACTAATCTTTTAAAGGATATCTATAAAGGTAACAAGGCAGTTATGAAGTGGGAAAAACAGGTATTCAAGCCTACAAAAGTAAAACGGGGGCTTAGGCAGGGGTGTCCTCTGTCACCCTTGTTATTCATGATGTACCTGCAAGGATTAGAGGCCAAATCAGAGGGAAACGAAATGGGCTTCAACCTCTCTTTCGTCAAACAAGGAAAACTCATTCAGCAACCAGTACTAACATTGATGTACGGAGATGATATAGTGCTAATGGCCGACAACAAGGAAGATTTGGAGAGATTGATGGACATCTGCGGTAAAGAGGGACATAAGTTAGATTTCAGATTCAGTAAGGAAAAATCAGCAGTGATGATTTTTAATGATAATGAAGGTCACGCTAGAATAAAGGAGGTCACGCTAGACATAACAGATAAATACAAATATCTGGGCGTATGGATAAGCAATGGGGCCGAGTATCTAAGGGAACACGAAATATACGTGACGACTAAAGGTAACAGGAATGCAGCGGTGATGAAAAACAGGGCACTGTGGAATTACAATAGGTATGAGGTTGTGAGAGGAATATGGAAAGGGGTCATGGTTCCTGGTCTTACGTTCGGCAATGCGGTCTTGTGCATGAGATCAGGAGTTCAAGCAAGATTAGAAATTAAGCAACGTGGAATAGGTAGGCTTGCTTTAGGAGCTCACGGGAATACACTAAATCAGGGAGTACAAGGTGATATGGGATGGACATCATTTGAGGGCAGGGAAGCTAGCAGCAAGATAAAATTTGAGAAGCGATTGAGAGAAATGGGGGAGGAGCGTTGGGCTAGGAAGGTTTTCAGCTACTTGTACATGAAGAATGTCGATACAAAATGGTGGACGCGAACCAGAAAATTGACTGGTAAATACTTAGAAAACAGCAGGGGGCCAAACCAAAAAGATTTATCGGTTAAAAAGAAGGTGAAGGAAGCTGAGACCGATATGTGGAGAATAGGCATGATTAAGAAGTCCGCACTATAGATCTATCAAACTTTTAAGCAGGAAATTGCCGAAGAAAGGATCTATGATAACACCCGGGGTAGTTCTCTACTGTTTGAGGCCAGGACGGGAGTATTGCGAACCAAGAGATATCGGGCCAAATATGAAGGGGTAGACACGGTAGGGAGTGCGTGTGGAGAGGGAGAGGAAACTGCCGAACACTTGATAATGTTCTGTGAAGGGCTTCACCTGGCGCAGTTTTTCAAAGCACTGGGGTTTAGATACAGGGAGGGAAAAATAGACTTTAAGCGGGTAGACGTAACTAGAAGAAGGTTATCTGATTAGTGGCTAAAGTCAAGGCACGAGTGAAAATTAAACCCTTCACTGCAAAGTACGAATCCTCAACCTCACTATTTAGAGAAAAAAAAAGATAAATCTAATGGTTAGTTCACTATGTATTATGGCTAGGTGGCGTTAGCCGCCGCCCGATCTAAAGGGTACAGCCACATCCATCCATCCATTCATCCGGTAGGTGTTCTGTGATGATGATGCGTAGCGCACCTTTTTGTTTACGTTCAGCAGCGTGTTTGGTAGCGTGCGAACGGTGCAGTCACAGAACACCTACATACTACCATTGCGGACTTGTGATCACGACGTTGTGTATTTGCTTATGTGGCGTCGTCGTGTGTCACAGAAACGAAGCGTGGAAGCGTACATGGCCGAATAATGTTTCGAAAGCCCGTGTTTCAGAAACCAGGTGAATATCGATACATACGTTTGCGATCCTCCGTTTTGTTGGCATGGCTGTTGCCGTCTTTCCAGGGGGTGAAAAAGAATTCCTGAACGAAGAATGGATCATCGAAGACAGAAGCAGTACCGCAGAATACACCAACTATGTGTATAATCCAAACGTGTCCCTCTCTATCACCCAGCAGAGGGAAAGACTTCCAGTGTTTAAGGTGAGCCTCTGCTTGTTTCTTGCTTTTTATTGACACACTGAAGCTGATTTGCAGAATCGCATGGATATCCTGTACCTTCTGGAGAAGCACAGAGTGTTGATCGTTACTGGTGAAACTGGCAGCGGGAAAAGTACGCAAATTCCACAGGTGAGAAAAGATTTGTTGGTCGTGTGTGTGTGCTTATTTCGTTATGTGCGTGCTTGTTTCACTATAAGTAGAGATATTTCAGTACCTCATGGAGGCAGGATGGGCCCAGAAGGGCCAGATGATTGGAGTCACACAGCCCAGAAGAATGGCAGCAATAACGGTGCGCATCACCTTTTAATTGATGGAACACAGTGTCACAATGTCATGGCACCGCCCTTGCTTCATTTCGTGCTTCGCAGTTGGCAAGGAGAGTATCCGAAGAAAAAGGTTGTTTGGTGGGGCAAGAGGTCGGCTACTGTGTGCGGTTTGATGAATGTTTTGACAGGGAAGGGACAAAGATCAAAGTAAGTGGCTTTTTTTTGTTAACCGTGGTCATTTCGTAGAACGTATATGCACTGATTAAATGTGTCGCCACTGAAATGATTTTGCATAGGAATTTTCTTTATTTCAGTTTATGACAGAAGGAATTCTCGTCAACGAAATCATGGCTAACCCACTGTTGCCCGTATATTCTGTTCTCATGCTCGACGAAGCCCACGAAAGGACCCTCTTGACTGACACATCGTTGGGGCTTATGAAAAAGATACTGCTTAAGAGACCGGACCTTCGTCTCATCATATCATCTGCAACACTAGAGGCAGAAGTTCTCAAACAATTCTTCCACAGTGACATTGAAAGGTGTGCAAAGACGTACTATTATGGTATCAAGCGCTATACATAGTGTTCATGTGATGTCACTTTCGCCGTTGTCGCCCTCTCCCGCCATGCCCGGGTACCTCGCAGTTCGCGTGCTGCAGTGCGGTTTGTTGAGGGCTCGTCATCTGTTGTTGAGTACGATGTTGAAAGGAAAGAATTGTTGTTTTTGTTGTCGTACTTTAACGAGCTCATCGGATCAGGAAGGACTCGCTTGTTCACTCGATACAAGACCAGAAAATCAAGATGTGCGACACGTATACCAGCCACCGCGTACACCAGCTGCCTTCCATGACCTACAAGGGCCCATTATTTCGCTTTCACTACAAGCACTACAAATTGCATGGTCCATGAACAAGTGGAAGCCGAAGGTCTCTCGAGCCGCAATTTTAAAAGTGGATGAGCGAAGCGCAGCAGCTTTCATCGAAAACGAGTTGTGCAGAGCTAGGCAAGTTTACAAAAGGTATAATATTAATATATTGCTGCGGCCCACGCCACCAAAGTAGCAGCGTCCCCCCACCCCCCCCCCAAGTGTTTTGAACAGTGCTGATGTTGAGCCTCTTTGATTGAAGTTTGTGGAAACAGCCGAGGAAAATATAATGCGAAGCAGATAAGAGACTTCGGGGGGTGCGTGCCGCGGTAATGTCGTTCATCACTTTTTTTTTTCGCGTATGTTTTGACACTTTTTTCATCTTGTATTTTACTCTTTTTGTACGCTAATGTACAGTGGAGTCCCTGAAAATGATGGAGACCATTTTAGAGAATTAATTGACCAATTTTTCGAAATCCTGACCCCCCCCAACTCAAACCGATCGGCTATATTTCAAAGTGAACTAATATTGTTTCGCAACCATTTTCATGGTTTGTTTCAATGCAATATTTGACAGTTTCAATGCAATGTAGATTTAGATGGGTTGAGCAATCCCTTCCTTAATGCTAAGGCACAAGCTTAAGGATGCTCCTACGAAAGTGAAATTTTTAGCTTACCAATCCTTGATTCTCCCTAAATTAGAATATTCATGCGTTGCCTGGGATCCTTATACTAAAACTAACATTGATGCATTAGAAAAAATTCAGCGGAGGGCAGTTCGTTTCATTTATTTTCTTTAGAAGCCTGGTAGTTCTGTAACTAGTGTAATGCTTTCAAATGGTATCACATCTTTGCAGTTGAGACGCAGATTCTTACGTCTCAAATTTTTGTACCAACTTTCTAACCGCAAATTTGCTCTGAACCCTGACCCCTACCTCACACCACTAAGAACACGCCAGACTCGGCATTCACACGCACTTTCTTTAACACCATATTTTGCTCGTACTAACTTGTTCAAATTTTCCTTCTTTCCTCGTACCATTGAAGAGTGGAACGATTTGCCTGCAAGCAGTTTACACTCTCCCGATCTTATTTACGCTGAAATTTGAAGTTTTTTTTCTAACTATTCCAACTATTTCCTCTTTTCCCTCCCCACTCTTTCCTTTTGTTGCTTTTGTATAAATATGTCTCGCTTTCCACTTTTTACTCTCTTTATTGTTGATGTTGTTTTGAAATGTGTATGACAACTGTATTATCTTGCCCTTCCTGCTTTGGCCTCTGGCCAGCAGTATTTGTAAATAAAATAAAATAAATACCCAAATTTCCGCGATCGCCATCACGATTTTAACCGCCTCCCTGACACGCTGATTGTGCGCGCAGTGGTCACGGACATTTTGTATGTACAGCATCTTAATAAGCTATCTCTGTTTGCAGGTAACTCCTTGGCTATAGCACTTGCCCGTAATGAAGTTACACCTGAAGACGCAAATATCGCCAAGTTTCTTCAAGTAGTCTTTTTTTTTTTATCTGCACCAGCTAAACACGCCGGTGCTTTTCGGAAAATAGGAATGTGCGTTCTCAATTTTAGGTAATAACTTTCGACGAAGAAACACCCCGAAGCTCTGCTCCCTTTTCGGGGACTACTAAATCAACTTGCCTCACTAGCAGCCCTCAAACTTGCATTGTGGGGCAAAACTAAGCAGGCGCAAGCACGAGGAAACAACACGGCAGCGGTAGGCGACGGAGTCGGTTGGTACCCGGGCATGTCGGTGGTGCATTTCGGAATTGACGAAGGGGCGCTGCGTGACGCACGTGCACACTATGTATATTGCAGCCAGTCTTGTGAGCTCACAGTCACAGTGAGAACAAATGTTTCGGGGTATAACCATTGCTGAGAAAAGCAGAACATGAGTTTTGTGATAGAAAACAAATAGGTGGAAAAAAAGAAAATAATGCTGTATACATGACGCAGCAATTAAAACTCGATCCAACAAAACGTCATGTTAGAGAGTCTTAGATATAATGACAAACTTTCCGTTCTCCGTCAGGTACGCAGAGTGTTAAACGATGTCATCAACCTGAATTAACAAACTAACTCGACACCAAACTTGATTTAACAAAGCTTTTCTAAAATAATTGACAAAATGGTGATTTCTCTCTAATTATTATGCAAAATAGTTTTTTTTTAGCGGACATTGTAATGCTATCGCAGCAAAATATCTGGTCGCCTTAGTCACAGCTATGGTTTTATTTTGATGGACCTGGACGCTACACCTATGCACAAAACAACAAACTCAACAGTAGGTGTAGAGGTCTTGCGCACCATATGTTGCTAGGACCACTGTTAGTGTACTGCCCCTGTAAATGTTCTCACAAGAGTACTACATTGGTTGCGCTCGTCATTTCATGGTTTATGTGACTCATATTGGCACTAATCGTCTCCTCGTAATTTTTTGCTTGGCCATCTGATGCAATCACTAAATTCGTTCTTCCTTCATTGCATATCGGCAGCCTGTAATAGCTTGGCATGACCGTCTACTTGGCCTCCATCGCCTGAACATAGGATGCCACCTGGCCGCCTTAGTGGACTTCTAGTACGTACAGGCGTAAATTAGCAGCAAATACAGTGCCTCTGTAGCTTTTGAGTGTCACCATGTTAAAATTTTAGATTTAGATGGGTTGAGCAATCCCTTCCTTAATTTTACGAAATACCTGATTAGAGAGCTGTTGTAGCTTCATTCAATCAAGCTTCAACTGTATTTTATCCTCAGCACAAGCTACCTTGTACTGTGTAGCTTGATTCAGCACAAGGCAAGTTAGTGAAATTTGGTATATTAATATGTAGAGCTAAAAAAGAAGATGAACAGAGTGTTCAAAACACGTGTTCTCATGTGTCTCTATTCTCATGCAATGATTTTTTCTGTGGTCGAGCTTAATTTAGCTTAGATGCAGTAGTGGCAGATTATTGTGAATGGAGAATCACTTTTGGGGTTGAATATGACAATTTGTTGCAAACAGCATAATTGCATAAAAATATGCAGCATTATTACTTGAAAAAAAAAAAAGAAGTAAAAAATCATGCGAGAGGGAACATGCTGAACACTTTAACATATTGAAATGTATTACTAGTGGTATTCCACAGACACCTAGCACTGTATGAACGGATTAATATATTGTGGTGCTGATATTGTGCTTCATTTTCAAAATCAAGCTCTTTGAGGGTAAGCATTATAAAATGTGCTAACAGAATGCTACAAAATTTTTGCAGCAAGAATATTTCTGCAGAAATCCTGAGCATCCAAGGAAGAGCATATCCTATTGAAGTCTACTATTTATCTCATCCAGTTCCAAACTATGTGAAAGCAGCTGTTGAAACTGTTGTGAAAATTCACGAGACCCAACGAATGGGCCATGTGCTGGTGTTCCTAACCGGTCAGGATGAAGTTGAAGAGGCCGTTAATCTTCTGAAGTAAGTATTACTCCTTCTTGTGGATGCCTTTGAAATGAAATAGTTGCCTCCTTTGCTAGCCTGGATTTTTCGTTACTGTACTACTAAAATGTAGTAATCCAGACAAAACAGAAGTTGAGGAGTAGATGGGCTCTTGAAGTAACGAAAAATTGAACGTAGAATGTGGCTGAAGCCAACATTGCATCAAGTGGACTTGTCTTCAATACGCTCTCATGCTATGGTTTGTTTTGTTGGCTTTAATAAGTCTTATTAAAAGGGCATAACTTTCTATAATATCTTTTGTGAAACGCTTTGGGTGTAGATAAACAGTTTGAAATGGCCCTAAACATGTTCTAAATCAAGGTTGCCACTGACTTTAGTGAAAAATTCGCTATAATATAAGCAAAATGTCACCAGAAGTCATTTTTTTTTTTTTCAGATTTCATCAAAAAAAGTTGCCACTCTACATATGTGTGGCATGCCTAGTAATAAGTATTCGTAATTATATATAGCACCGTTCACTACGGTATCATCTGTAAATCCTTAATCATAGTGACGTTTAGCTATGCCAGTCACCTCACCTGCTTCAATGCAACACTGAGAAAGGGCATGCGGGCACTAGCAGCGTCCCTGAATGCCTCATAACAAAAGTTTGTGATGGCTACAACAAGACAGGGACACTGCGCATGGCCCATTTAGAGAATTTCACTGCAGTAAAATCATGCGTTCGATAATTGAACTTGATTACTAATCAATCGAGATAAATTCGAAAGTACTGCGTAACTGTCGCAATGCCCGCACCACGCTTTTTGTGTGGTCTTGCTTACGCTATAAATTTGCCTCACTGCACTTTCAGAAGGCTGTCCAAAACAGCCCGACTTTTTGGGCCACCCAAAAAGTATGTTGATAACAAATTTAAAGTCTACACACCAAATTTAGGGGTACAACAGCAGTGACAAGCTATTCAGGACAGTTGGAGCTGTGGTCAAAACATGTGCCATTGCCGAGTCACTTCAGGAGTGTCTTTCAAGAAATTGAAAGCATTGAAAAAATGTAGTATAACACCACCCCCACGCGAAGCAGTGCACTGACGTAAATGTTGCTGGAAGTTTGCTGATGGACGCACCGGTGCCTCCAGGATCTAGGTGAATGAGGAGATGAGAAACAGGACAAACGTACTAAATTGTGCTTTCTACACGAGAGTCTAAAACTACGAAAAATAGAAAAAATGTTGTTGCCCATCCTTTTGAAGACACTAACAACCGTACTCAGAAACGCTTCTTGAAAGTGACTTGAAACGGCCTTTAATGCAGCGCGTTTGAAATGCGCCTGTGCGTTTGTGCTGCCTTGGCACCCCCTAAAGACAGCACGTTCGAAATGCTTTCATGCTGCAATGAAGTCGATGGCAAGTCAATTTTGAGTCAAGCAGCGTTTCTGAATACGGGGGTAAGTATACAATGCACAACTCAGCCGACACCCGAACCGAAAATTGGCCTAAAGTAGCCACCAGTGGAAACCCTGTTCTAAATGGTGCTGTTGTAAGTCGACTCGACTCTACATTGAAGTTAATGTGAATAGGTTTACACATTGGATAACTTCACCTAACTTTATATGTCCCCCTACCCGACTGTATTGCCATTCTTGATTGTTTGGATCACACCCTAAATTATTGTCCTGGTATAAAAGTGTGGTTCTAGGGTCACTTTATACTAGACAATGTTATGTAATGACTGTTTTTGATGCAAGTGTACTAGCCTGTGATAGCTTGGGATGTTATTCAGTGGTGCAAACACCAAGTGACTCACTGGTTTCTCTTCCAAGCTCTTCCAGTTTTCTAAATAATCAGAAAAAGTCTTTAAAAATAAAATGGCATGAAATTGATGGTTTTGATTTTATATTGGATACACAATATCACATCATAAGTTTACTTTTGATCCATGTAGCTGTTGGGATAATTATTAAAAATTAATTGAAAGCATTTCCGGTGGAGGCGGAAATGTTGTAGGCCCGTGTGCTCAGATTTGGGTGCACGTTAAAGAACCCCAGGTGGTCGAAATTTCCGGAGCCCTCCACTACGGCGTCTCTCATAATCATATGGTGGTTTTGGGACGTTAAACCCCACAAATCAATCAATCAATCAAAAATAATTGAATGAGTTATTGAAAAAGCAGGTTGTTTTCATGTGAGGAGCTGTGATCGTTGACCTTGCTGGAGCAGATCTCAACCACAAGCTTCTTTCAATGTGGCCTCCAAGATCTGCTTCAGCATTGCAATAAAACACTGTTAACCCAAGGAAGGAATGATATGCCAATGTGAGAAGGCCATTGCCAGACGCTTTCGGTCTAGTATTAGGGTCACCTTCTGTTTTTTTTTTCCCAGGTAGCTGCATGGCTGGGTAACCCTATGAAGAACTGCATTTATATTTTACGCTCGCATGGCATTTAAAAAGATTGTATAGTTGAACGTTAGTGCAGAACAGTTCTTCTCTGCTTATTTTGAGGTGTGAGGTGGGTCATTATTTGTCAAAGTACTGGCGATTGTTTTGTTTGGTGGGGAGAACAGCACAAAAAATATATTTTAAGTTTTGTACTCATGTACTGTATACAAGGAGTATGTCTGATATGCTGCCTAGTCATGATTTTGGGACATATACCTTATTATAGGTACACTGAAAGGGTTATTTGAAGTTTGGTCAGCATTTAGGGAAGAGCATCATCAAACCATTTGCCCCACAAATTTAGTGACATGCCGTCTACTAAGGCTGTACGGACAATTATATCTACCTTCCGTCTCACCCTTGCCATGCCTCAACTGATGAGACACGCTGGCATCACTGGCGATGGCAGAGCTCTCATGAGCACACTCGACAATTTGAGCTTCGCCCAGTTTAGATCTCGGAGATTGCACTCCGGCAGGTTGTGCAGTGTCAGCGATTGTCACCTATTGTGCCCAGCAGCCCGCACGCTGTCTAAAAACAGAAACAAAGATCGCAGAGTGGTTGATTCCTGCTCCAACAGGTTCCACCATCCTACCAGCTGATTTTACGTGCACTCTACACCCATATCGGATGAGCAGCCTGGGTGACATCTCATTTACAGCAAATGTCGTACTGTAAATGGGTTGTGGAAAACGAGCTTGGCTGAGCTTCAGTGTCCTGCAACGATTCACAGCTTTAAAGCATTGTAATAAATTGCACAGTTTATGCAGAGAGCTTAAATCTGTCTGTATGTGACCCTTAGGACTTGGTCTGCCGGCCTAATGTGTTCGTACAAAATAGTCAAAAATATTTCAGGGTCTATTTAAAGTGAACAGCTTCTGTTTTGGAGCAGCTTAGAAAAATCACATAATCTGGTTCTGCCAACAATTTTACTTTTTTTAAAATTGCCTGTGGCACACAGTGCAGTTCTTTCTATGTGACCAAGTAACTGCCAAAGGTAATTTTTTAATCATTTGGGACTTGAAAAAACAAACAAAAATAAAAGGAGGAAAATTACGGGTAGTTTTATATGTCAACTGTTACCAACCACGCAACTGCGTACCAGTTACTGCTAAAAAGTGTTTTAATTGTAGCGTTGCTTTTTGTCATGTACCTTGTTTTTCTATGCTCATAATTCAATTTCTGTAGTTAGTATACAAGTGCTTCCCCTTGTTGAGCCTAAATTGCTCGTTGTCAAATTCAGTAAAGGAAAAAAAAAATATTTATAGTGTGTTTGCTAATGATTCTACTTAAGGCTGCAATAACATCTCGGCAATAAAAAAATTCACTTTCTAAAAAGCTTGCACAGTTATACTTTGTATCATTTAACCATTTCAGATAAGCTTTAGTTTGTATGCAATAATTGTGCATAATGAAGTATTTGTATTTATTTTTATCACATTGCTTAGTGGGTGAACTTTTGTAAAACCACTTGAGATTGGTAGCTCATAAAGCAGTCTAGCCTGTACATAGTGAGTATGGATGATTATATCTGTTGTATTTTAGTAAATTGATAATAACTCCTGCTGATACCTGCACAAAACAGAAATATGCTATAATAAATACTTGATAAACATATAACCAACTACATTGCGGCCCTTTTATTTCAATTTTGACTTTTTTGTCCCCATTATGTGCCATGTCCACATATACGCTGTGTTCACATATGCGTACACAACTTGTTTTTGTCAGAGTTCTCCCAGCTAGTGGCTAAAAAAGAGCAAAAAGTAAAACACATTGCAGAATAACGGAAAGGTGGGCTAGTTTATTAGGGTTCATAGGGTTGTTCTGTCTTTTCTCGTTCTTGTATTCGTCCTAATGCTGCCCCATACAAATCACAATGAGCAAAACACATTGCGCATTGGATGAACTGAGCTGCCTGCATAGTCCCTGTGTCTTTATTGAACTTCAGAGCACTTCATACAACTGCTGCCGACTGCTATGGTGAAGGCACTGCAATGTTCAATGGGTCATTTGATGTGTGTTCGAGAAGCCGCATGAAAAGTATAAATATTGTTTACTCAAAATAATACAATCAAAAATAAATTGCACATTCATTTTCAGACTAAGATTCGATCCTTTTTCTGCACAAATGGTCTATATATAGTCGAGAGGGGCAAAGCGCCCGTGCAACCGGAAGTGAATCAGACAGCGTCTGCAGACGTAGTATGTAGTTTTATTCCAGTCTCGGAAATATATAGGAATGTGGCAGGAGGAACAGAAGAAAGAGTGCATGATGCATGGGCAGCTGCCGCATGCCACTCAAATGACCTAACAGTGACAGCATTCCCTTCCTTTTAATAACCGTAGCGCTCTTCCAGTTTCTTTGTACGAGCAGTTTCCGCAGCTGTGGTGAGACTTCTGCGCCTTCGGATGTTGTAGTGGACTTTGGCGCCCTCTACTCTGTGGGCCTTGAGTCTTGTGGTTCAGCGGATGAAGTCTCGGACGTGTCGGTAGAACATTTGTGTACATGGTCGATGTGCCTGCGAATCATACCATCTTCCGTCTGAACTGCCACCAGCCGAGCACCCGTAGTAGACTTGACTTTACCAGGTGTCCACTTGTCTCCGACTCCGTATTTCCGGACGTAGACTGTATCGCCTGGGGTGAAACTCCAGGTAGCGTCATCAGTGTATTTCGGCAGATGGGCTGTCCGGTTCCTGGGTGAAAAACACATGCCTAGTCTGTCCTAACCTTGTATCCCAAAAGCGATTCTGATGGAGACAATCCAGAAGCCCATGGCGCATTACTGCACTTGCACAAAATTTTAGCCAGGGCAATCCCGCGATCCACTGCAGTCATTTTGTTTAAACCGTCCTTTATCGTTCTAACAGCACGCTCTGCCAATCCACGGCTCTGGGGATGATAAGAGGGCGTGCGAATGTGAGTGATACCGTTTCGTATCATAAAACGGGCAAAGTTTGACGAGGTAAACGACATGCCATTATTTGAGACAACAGTATGGGGCAGTCCGAACCTGCTAAACAAGGTTCTTAGAGCATCCACAGTATTCTTAGAAGTGACTTAGTGCATCGATATTGCCTCTATCCATTTGCTGTGAGAGTCTACAACAATTAGAATCATGGCATGGCATGGCATGGCACGGTCGCGCGAAGTCTATATGCAGTCGAGACCATTTCTCGTTCGTACTGGGCCAGCTAAGAGGCTCTCGTGTCGGTGGCATGGGTAACGCTTGTACACAGCTGTGACATTCACTCCCGACACGATGAATGACTTGGTGAAGACCTGGCCAACATAAACTCGACCTCGCGAAGGTCTTCATGGTTGAAACTGCTTGGTGGGCCTCATGTAATAACTATAACAATCTCTCATGAGCACTTTAGGGGATTACTACTCGATGGCCCCAGAACAGTAAACCACCTTCCATATACAATTCATGTCGCTGTTTGTACTATTCGGAGAGTGCTAAGCTTCCTACAGGGCGTGGCAACGGCCAACATTCAATAACATACTGGCAGACCCTAGATAGGATCTTGTCCTCTGCTGTCAGTGCTTTCAACTCCTGGCGTGACTCCGTGGGATGATCCCATTGGTCAATAGAAAGTACCATGTCCTCGGATTCATCCACGGTTGGTTCCGAGCCTGCAAACATTGTGGCCAACGGCTCAGTGCATCGGAGTTCAGCATCAGTTTACCGGGTTTAAACAGCAGTTTATACGTGTAAGCTCCCAGCAACAGAGCCCATCTTTGAATTCTGGCAGCAGCCATAGCAGGGGTCTGGCGATCTGCCCCTAAAAGGCCTAGCAACAGGTGATCATTCGTGACGAGCATGAATTCACGCCCTATGAGATAATCCCATAACCGAGTTACGCCGTGCACCAGTGCTAGGGCCTCACGTTCAATCTGGGAGTACTTATTTTCTGCTACGCTCAATGTCCGAGTTCTAAATCCAATCGGCCTGTTCTCGCCATTCATGCGATGGAAAAGCACCGCTCCGACGCCATGCAGGGAAGCGTCACATTCCAAGAGTAGCTCCTTTTTTGGATCAAAAATGGGTTAAGACCGGTGCAGCGCACAGAACGTTCCTGGCCTCTTCGAAAGCCCGTTCTTCTTTCTTGCCCCAAACCCATTTCGCTCCTTTTTCTAGAATCCGATAAAACAGCGCAACAAACGTAGACAGATTCGGCAAGAACTTGTAAAATGTGATTATACCAAGAATTGACCGCAATTATATGACGTTGAGTTGGGCCGGAGCTAGCCTTATCGCATAAATGTTTTTTTTTTTTCGAGTGAATGTAATCCCTTTGCATTAATACGGTGACCAAGATAGGTTACTGATGCCTCCGAAAATTTACATTTGTCGGCACGAAGTTTGATACTACGCTCCTTGAAATGATGAAGCTCCGCCTTAACGTTAGCATTTGGGTCCCCTGCAGTGTCTGCTATGAGCACATCATCAAGATACACTTGGGGACCTGGCAAACCCTTTAGGACCTTCTTGATTTTGCGTTGAAATAGGGCGGATGCCGAGGCTATGCCGAGAGGTAAGCGGTTGTAGCAAAATAGTCCCTTGTGTTTGTTTTGACCACCAGCTTTTTCGAGTCTTAGTCAAGCGGGATTTGATTGTAAACTCGTAGGTCTAGGATGCTGAACTTCTCTTCCCCGCAGAGAATGCTGAATATGTCATCAATGATAAGCGATATGTATTGTTCTACTTTGCACACACGTTTCAAGGTGACTAAAGTCCCCGTAAATCCGCACTTTTTCGTCTTTTTTCAACACGGGTACTATGGGTGTAGCTCATTCAGAATGAGGCACGGCCGAAATTATGCCCTCTGCGACTAGTCTGTCTAGTTCTTGAGACACTTTGTCGGGAAGCGCAGATGGAACCTTCCTTGCCTTGTAAAACTTCTGGTTGGCTCCGTCTTGCATGTGTAGTCGCGTAGGTGGGCTTTTCAGCAGTCCGGTTCTGTCAGTGAACAGCTCAGCATAGTGCTCCAGTAGTTATGTGGATGGCGAGGTAAATGGGCTCTCTTCTTTCACATGTAACACAGGGACGCCTTCTTCCCGAAATTTCTGCAAAAGATCCCGCTTGCAAAGGCTGGGGCTGTCACAATTCAGAACAGTTAGACTATAGTATATTATAGAAAATTGGAAAAAAACATTTATCTTGAACACTCCACGCACTGGCAGCTTGCCAAGATAACATGACAGTTTTATCTGGGCTTCCTGTAGCTGCGACCAGTGTTGACGGTACATTTCATAAACTGCCCTGGGAATTACACAGACTGGCGATGCTGTGTCATTTGTCCATGGCTAAACTGATGCCACCCCAATTAAAACATTTCCTGATAGGCAGAACCAGAGCTGGAGCTGTAGTCAACGACCAAATCTGCGATGCACTGCTGTCGCTATCTTCAGTGTCGTCCTTCACATGCGCTGTTACTGCTAGTGCTCTATTGGTAGTGGTTTTGAAAGAGCACATTTTGGCTAAGTGACCCCGCTGCCTACACTTGCCACAACATTTGCACAACTGCCACATTTGCAGAGTGCTTGCGATGGTAATGGTTTTTTTTTCTTTGAGCCTAGTTCGTTTCGCTGTGATAGTTGCAGCACATTTGCCTGCTCTTTATCACCTGAAATGCCTTGAGAATTCATCTTTGCAGTTTCCGTGGCAAGAGCGAGGGCCTCAGCGTCAGCCAAAGACAAGCATTTCTTCGCCAGAAGTTGTTTCTGCAAGCTCTTGGACCTTACGCCACACACTATCCGGTCCCGTATCATGTTGTCCAACATTGATGCGAATTGGCAGTTTCTCGCCATTTGTCGTATGGCCACAATGAATGCGTGCGTAGGCTCTCGCTCTTGCTGACAGCGATGATAGAACTTGAACCGCTCGGTAATTTTATTCAGCTGTGGGTTATAATAGCTGTTCAAGGTAGACGCAACATCGTTGTAGGTCAAAGAACTTGGTGTTATGGGCGCCACTTTCCCACATAAGACTTCAACTGTTGAAGTTCCGAGCACGGCAACAAACAAGGCTCTTTTCTTTGCATCTTTAATGATACTCTTAGGTTCAAAGTATGCTTCGATTTTTACAAGATACGGTTGCCACTTATCTGTTGTATTATCGAAGTCTGGTGGCATGTGGGCCATGGCTGACGTGTGTTCCGAGTTGTTGTTCGATCTGGCCTGATCCTTCTCTGGTTTCAATTCCGTACTCGTTGCCACTGAAGCCAAAAGAAGCAAAGCGCCCGTGCAACCGGAAGTGAATCAGACAGCGTCTCCAGACATAGTTCATAGTTTCATTCCCGTCTTGGAAATATATAGGAATGTGGGAGGGGGAACAGAAGAAGGAGTACATGATGCATGGGCGGCTGCCGCATGCCACTCAAATGAAGTAACAGTGATAGCAACAGACAACAGTAAAAGTAGATCTTTAATGACATCCAAGCTATAATTAATAATTTCAACTTGTGCAAGGCAAGATATTCTATTTTTTTCTTTCAATAAATAAAATATTGAGTGCCTTGGAATGACAAGTGAATTTGACTCATTTTCAGACAGTCCGTCACTATTTGCACCTGACGGGTTGTGCAAGGCTCAACATTTAAATACATTTTGAAAGCGCCGCTTTACTTTATGCTTAAGCTTTTGGATGTGTGCTTACTCTGAAATTGTTTAATCGAAATGTTGCTCTTACTTTTGCTGGAATGTTGCCCCGCCGCGGTGGTCTAGTGGCTAAGGTACTCGGCTGCTGACCCGCAGGGCGCGGGTTCGAATCCCGGCTGCGGCGGCTGCATTTCCGATGGAGGCGGAAATGTTGTAGGCCCGTGTGCTCAGATTTGGGTGCACGTTAAAGAACCCCAGGTGGTCTAAATTTCCGGAGCCCTCCACTACGGCGTCTCTCATAATCATATAGTGGTTTTGGGACGTTAAACCCCACATATCAATCAATCAATCTTTTGCTGGAATGTTTCAGAGAATACTCAAAAAATACAAAAAACACCCCTGGAATACCAAGCATGTACGTTTTGCCACTATATGGGTCACTACCTCAGTCAGAACAGGTAAGGAGCTCTTGACCCCACACAAAAGCTTCCAGGATTATGCAGCCCATAACAGTGCAGTGTTTTACCAGAATATTCCAACTTGGGTAGCGAGTAATAGCAATTTCTAAATGAAGACGAAGTGATAGAACAGTGTTTTCTAGTTCTCAAAGCTTCATTTTTACTCTTTATTTAACCTTCATTACCAAGAAACTAAGAATTGGCAGTGTCATTAAAATAGAATTAAAAAATGGCTTTTGGTGAAGAAACTAGAATATAGTTCCCGAGCGGTGGGGGGGCACCTCTGATAAAAAGAAAAGTTTGCTCGCTTTCGTTAGTCCGCTCAAAAATGGAAAATGTCGCTCTTATTTGGAATCTTAACCAGCAAACCTTGCTCATAAACTTGAGGCTATTCAAAACGAAGCAGCCCACTTTATCACATGAAAATAGTCGCGGGTATATAGCATAACTTAAATTGTCATTAAAGTTACCTGCACTAGAAAAGCGTAGGCTTATTGCACTGCTGTCTCAATTCCACAGGCTTTATTTCTGTGATTCATTGTTTTTACATTCACAGATTAAACCAGCTCATCGCATTTTTCCAAGCCTGGATTATGCATACAAAGTACAACCAATGTTTTTCTGTACTAACTTCTTTCGTGACTCACAATTACTTCCTGTGATTTATGATTGGAATAAGCTGCCAAGTGATGTAACTGTGCATGATCACGACACATTTGCTAGCAAATTAAAGGGGATGTGGAATGTAGAAGTGTAACATTTTGTAGCTTTCATTTAGTCCAGTGCCAATATTAGTACCTGTATTATTGCATACCTTGTTTCAGTGCTGCATTGCATTATCATGTCTTACATGCATGTTTACTTCTTTTGCTTTTTACATTTACCTTTTTTTATCTGCATAAGTATTTTTTTGGAATATAACCCTCCAGTATTGTAACTACCCCCGCCGAATATATATATATATATATATATGTTCTAACTGCCTCTTGCACCCACCACATTTTTTTATTCATGAATTTCGAAGGCTTCGTTCATATAAACGTACAGTAGAATCTCAGTGATGCGAAACCGCGACAGATACAAATTCGTGAAATTCCCCAGCCAAATTCTAGTGTGTTCATTCGGCCGAACTTCGCATGTTCCAAACACTTTTCTTAATTGCGCCGGGTGATATGAACTTCAGTACTGAAACCGTCAAATGAAAGCCGAGAGCAGCGTGCTTGAAGCTTCACAACTACGCGTGCAACTAGCGCATGCACTGCCTTCTACAGTGCGTGTGGTACTCGTTGCTACAACTGCTGTGGACGAAACAATGGTCGTTCTTGACATGATCGTGTATGGCGACGACATGACTGACAGAATTTTGAAAGTGTGCACGCGTCCAACACTCTACCAGTCAAAGAACGCTGCTTTCCGCAAACTCTGTGGACAAAACCGCGGCAGATTCAATCATAGATAGCATAATAGGACTTAGTTTTGAAGGCGTAGCCAGTGCACACTGATTGAAAACGGAACTACCGTTACCGAAACCGCCGTGCACAAAACCGCAGTCACGGCGACACGATAGGGATCTACGAGCTCTGAGGTCACGCATGTAACGCAGCAGTAGATTAAAGCCAGTAAAGATGTAAAAAAGGCTAGAAGCGATTCGGCGTTCCTGTCGAAAGAAGAAGGTGGTAAATGAGAAGAAGGAGGAGAAGTCTGCCTTGAAAGCCGGTTTCTGGCCTGCTACTCCTCAGAGGGGTAAGGGGAAAAGGGAAAGAAAGAGGAGGGTATGATGAGGGGTGGTTGTGGTGTAGTACACGCACAAAAGTCTCTACATTAGCAGATTCTCTAAAGACGGGAATCTAAACCTGTCTTGCTTAGAAATGCGAGCAGGCCCTTTAAACTGCATTGGGTGTGATCCACACGTTCCCAAGCACCTAAAAGTTTCTCTTCCGAAAAGGATCGGCAGTCTAAGTCATCTGTGAAGCACTTAAGAGATTGTCTATCAACTGCGTATAAAGGGCACACACACAGGATGTGACTAATAGTTTCTGGCGTGTTACACAAGTTGCAGTTAGGATTTCGCTTTTGTCCAATCACGCATAAGTATCGTCGCGTGTATGCAACACCCAGCCACAGTCTATTTAGTAGCGTTTCTTTGTCTCTCCTTAGTCCTGTCCAAAAATTAAGCAGCCAGCAAAGCTTTGACCCTCGCTTTCGTGACAGCCAGCTGTGCCGTCTCGTTCGTTCACGTGTGTCCCAGAAAGACATACAGGAGTTGTTCTGTCGGAAATAGCGTTTGCTAGTTGTTTTAATGATGCAAAATTTTGGGAGTATTTGCGCTCCCCCTTTGAGACGAATCTTCGTGAGAAACTCTGCCCTCGTGTGTAAGACCGCAACGCTGAAACTTGTGATTGAGACCCCCTCCCAAGGTGGCTGAACAACCACAGTGCCAGATTGCCCCCTATACTCCATCACAGAAGTTCTCTTCAGCACTGTGAATGCTACAGATTTCCTTAGCCAATAGGAAGGACGATTACGTCCTCCACATGTATTAATCCCCGTCGTATCATCTGCTCAACATCTCTGGCATCATTACATCCTCCACATGTAATAATCCCCGTCGTATCATCTGCTCAATATCTCCCTGGCATCTGCATGCATGTGTAGGGCAAGTAAAGTTAATAGACGGCGAAAAAACATGGCTGCACCCATGGCAGCTGCTGCCCTAAGCATCAAATTCATTGAGTCATCATTGTGTGTTGTGTGACCCGTAAGCTGCAAACGAATTCTTTGTTTCATTTATATCAATTTGCTGACGCTTCGACAGTGATGTATTAGTGACTGTATTCCTCTAATTTTAAGGACTGTATCAAATTCTTGGCCCATTAGGCTTAGCAGGTGTGGCTGAACAGCTGACCTCGCAAATAAAAAAAATTGTATCTGATGCTTTGTTGTCAGCGTGAGATGGCACAAAGGGATGGCTCATTTCACCATTCTTTCATTTCTGCCAGCGCTGTGGGTGAATATCAACTGCAAGTTCGGATAGCAGCGTGTAGTCGTGTATGCTTGAGCGCTGCTATGATGATTTGTAACCACGTTTACTAGTGGTTGACACTGTAATTAAATATATAAGACAGCAATGCGAAGAAAAAAAGAAAAATAAGCACATCACACATCGCTTCGACACAACACGTGCCAAACAAGCCTATTGTAAGGTAATCAATTCTGGAACTATGTTTTGGTGCGCAGGCTTGGGGCTTCCTTCCTACACCCCATAGGCTTGGCTTTGCTGAATGGTAGTGGTGAGACAAACTATAGTTTTTATAGTACGAAATTCTGCATATCCAGCACCTAAGCCATAGATAGGTCGGACTGTTAATTAAACGACTTGAGACATCACATAGATGCTCCATTTATTTGTGGTGACTTTTAGCAGCAGTGATCATTAATGAATGCCAGTGAAACCAGCACACTTTCTCGACTTCTTTGTTTGAATAAGTTGGATCTAAAGTGGTCATCCGACCCCTTGAGAAGCATTTGCTTATGTCTTTCCAAAGCTGTGGGATTCCCCTTCACGCTTACAGGTCTTTGATCTGCTCTGTTCTTAAATCTGTAGCATTTTAATCGGTGAAGAATGTCTGTGAAGGGATCATACAGAAGGGCTTTGAAGCTATTGCATTGTAAGAAAGGTCTACACGGTGATTCTATGAACATTTAAGGCTATTTTGGGGGAGTGTGTCGCTTTTTGCCCCGCCGCGGTGGTCTAGTGGCTAAGGTACTCGGCTACTGACCCGCAGGTCGCGGGTTCGAATCCCGGCTGCAGCGGCTGCATTTCCGATGGAGGCGGAAATGTTGTAGGCCCGTGTGCTCAGATTTGGGTGCACGTTAAAGAACCCCAGGTGGTCTAAATTTCCGGAGCCCTCCACTACGGCGTCTCTCATAATCATATGGTGGTTTTGGGACGTTAAACCCCACATATCAATCATATCAATCAATTATTTTGGGGCTTGTGGTATCAATGATCTCATGAAAGTAAGTTTTAGGCCTTGGTACTTGAATTCAGCTTGCATATTCTCAAAGATAAAAAAATTTGCTTGTCTAGATCATTATGTGGCCTTGAAAATTAACAGAGCAAAGGCCCCTTTTATGTACTCTACTGAAGTTTTTTTGATGAGCGAGTTAGCTTTGGAATACACTTCCCACTTATGAAATATGTTTGCACTTTTCAACAGATGAAAGCGTTTCAACCTTTCAGTCCAAAAGTCCGAAAAGTTGTTGTGGCAACAAACATTGCTGAAGCATCTGTTACCATCAATGGTATTGTTTATGGTATGTTGTATACAATTTAAGTTGTAATTTCACTCTGTAGCTTAAGCATGTATCATGCTTTGACAGTGGTAGACTGTGGCTTTGTGAAGCTCAACTTCTTCAACCCAAAGACAAGCACAGATGCTCTGGTTGTTGTGCCTGAATCTCAATCCTCAGCCACTCAAAGGGCTGGTAGAGCAGGCAGAGTGTCCTCAGGGAAGGTCTACAGACTATTCCGAGGTTAGTTTCCTTCGACTTTAATTAGGGCATGATGTAATCTTTTCAAGATCTTTCTTTTTAAGACTTATTTTTATCACATTTAAAAAAAAAAACATTTCTAGAGGACGACTTTAAACAGCTTCCGGTCTTCACAACCCCAGAGATACAGCGCAGCAATTTGTCAACATTCATACTTCAGTTGAAGTCAATGGGAGTAGACAACATTGCACATTTCAGTTTTCCATCGGTGAGCAGTACATTTGGCTCTTGTTTGCAGGAATGGGGTAGATCAAAGTGTAACTGAGCATTGCATGTTTCTCATTTTTCAGCCACCCCCTTCCAAAATTGTTATTAATGCACTGGAATTGAACTATGCCTTGGGCGGTAAGCAGAGTGTCATTTTTATGATCAGGTGGTAACAAAGAATTTTTTTCTTTTATTAGCACTTGACAATAACGGCAGCCTCACCGAATTGGGAATGAAGATGGTCATGTTTCCAGTACCAGCCATGCAAGCAAAAATGTTGCTGGTGTCTGGTATGTAGCTGCCACAGAAGTAATGCTGAACTGTGAGCAATGTCATATTCACAGTTTACAAACATGCCTACTCTCCCACCACTTTCTTTTTTTTTCAGGTGAATATGGTTGCTCAGAGGAGGCACTAACAATAGTTTCAATGCTGCAAATAGAATCCATTTTTTTGTTTCCATCACACAGAAAAGTAGAAGCGGTAAGAGCAGAATGTACTTTCGCATCTTTGCCTTCTCCTTCCCATCCCTCAACTGATAAGATGAGCCCAGTGCTTACAGAAAAAAATATACATATGCAAGCATTCATTTGGTGTACACCAAATTCAGAGGCGCTGAAGCCTTATGTTTGCTGGTATTGCTCTGCGGAAAATTGAGCTCTCCACGTGTTTTGCAATATACACCTTATGCAGCTCTAAGAAAAAGGTCAATGCCGCGTGTGATTTCTGCATGTTTTTCATGAACATGTGAATACTATGAAAGGTGTATTAAAGGGTTACTGACACCTTTTTTGAAGATGAGTTTACTCAGCCATACCAATCTCCCGTATACAGAGACAGCTCTGAGCAAGTGTTACACTCAGCAAATGCTAATATTTTATTTTGGTATTAAATATTTTCTTGTGGCACATCTATCGACATCAACACAACTTGACGTCAGGCTTCAGTACTAATCCTGGTGACTTCACGTAGCAGTCTGGCTAGTTGTGATGACATCAAGCACCAAAACACAAGAAAATGGTAGCTTGCGCATTATCTTTTCGATCGTCTGCTCACGCCGTGCTGTCATGCAATCAGCGTACCTATGAAGCGAGTAGTGGAGTCTGGAATAGTGGACGTGCACGCAAATACAAGATATATGCTTATTAGAGGGTACAGGTATTGTTTGAAGACGTGACACGCTGACGAGGATATGCGACAAAAACTTGCGTGCACATACTTCGGCCTGGTGGCGCTGCTCGTAGCACGTCAAAAGGTCAGGGTACAGTAAGAACCGAAACTAGCTTTTAAGGGGAGATGTGCTTCGAAAACGAAGTTTTGTGAATCTGTTGGCTAGGGCGATGAAATATTTTGCCGTATGTGTAGGCTGTAATCCTGATTTCAAATATGTAATTAGTTTTGTAGCATTTTGCACAGTTTTTGTTTTGTGCCATGATAACATGACAATGTGTAAAATTTAGTTCATTTTGCACAAACTTTTTATTCCATTAGTATATGTTTCTGGGCCATCAATGGCTCATATTGCTCGTCATTAACTCTAAAATGAAAATAACTATGAAGAAAGTCTGTACAAGACATTTTAGGGAACAAGAAAAATTGTAATATGAGAATTCTTAAACTCTCAGCCCATACTATATGCTTGCTTTAGCTGTGCAATAATTATACAGGCTATATAAAATTTTAAAAGAGATACTTGCACCCGCCACATGTTAAGGAATATCAGGGCAAAATTTCAGCTTGATCTTGCTATTAGAAGTACCAAAAACATTATGTCTAATCTCAAGAACTTGTCCAAAAATGAATCTTGATATACACACATATTAAAGTATAAGTGAAAGCTCATCTATGTGGCAAAGATACGTTTTTAAACTTATTTCTTTCATCATGAGAGCTTGGAAGCATTGTTATTTTGAGCATGTGGCTTTAGTGAACTCCTCATGCAAAATGCAATGGCAAGCAGCCAGGTGACAATTTATAGGGGACTCTAGACCATGAGCTCTTTTTAGTTCTTTGTAGCCACCATGTGCTCTTTAAAAGCAATATTAACCTACTTTGAGTTTAAGTATAATATTCAGTTTTTTCACATTGAAAGTGGAGAAAACAAACTTGTGAAAGCAAATGAAAACTAAAAATATGTAACTTTGAAAAAAAAAAAAGAACATTCATTTTGCGATTCCCATCTCCCCTTAAAAGCATGCTGTAAATAATTTTTTGGGAAGCACTCACGCTTGCCGGTACATTTTCCACTCACTCGAGGGCTTGGCCTATCATTTGATGCAAAAAAAAAAAAAAACAATAAGTGAAAAATTTCGTGTCGGCACCCTTTAAGTATACCTGTACTCTGGAAAAGAGTTTAGGAAGTAATTTTGTGTCCAGCGAGCAATGGCAACTATTTATACAAGCACTGCAGATGTTTTGGTTGTCTTCATAGCTTGCAAACGAGAGTTGAGCATTTCAGGCATAAAGTGAAGGTTAGGAAATGCTCCATTCAGCTTCGTTTCCTCGGTGAATACTTGACCAAAGTGATGTTATCTTTTCACAAATTATTGCTGGGACTGCTGGACCAAACTTATGTTTTTCTATATGAATTAGGCGCAAAAAGATCTCATTCCCTGAGGAGTTTTGGAAAGTGAGAAACTAGCTATTGCCTTGGGCTTTTCTCAGAGCACGTTTCGTATGCTACACAAGCTGTGTTTGAGTGTGGTGCATAAGCTTACAAATTGTGTTTTTGGCCTGTTAGCTGTGATTGTCAGCATCAGTGTGCCTGCGAGTAACACAAGTATTCTTGTGCTATCATGGTGCGGGTCTTCGTTGTCATCCTTAACAGGCCACGGAAAGATGTAGAAGTGTGTGTGCTTTATTCAAACTTTTACAAATATTTTGTAAATCACATTCTCATGTGTCAGCAGTGCTTGTTGTTAGTAACTCATTGCTTACACTCATGTATCGCAAACAAGTTAATTTAGAGAAGTGAAGGAAGGGGGCCCACCAAGATTGCTGCATTTCTGGCGTCAAAAAACTTGCAGTCAAGACCTCTCCCCCACCCTCGTGATTTCATGTGACAAGTAAAAGCACTCTTCTCTTTGCTGTGGCTGCTAGGTTAAAGCCGAATTTCCCAACTTGTATGGGTCTTTGTGCTGACCTGCATTTTTTTCCCCATGTTTCAGAGGAAAGCAAAGTACAAATTTTCAGTGCTTGAGGGAGACCTGCTGACTCTGCTGAATGTTTATAATGCATTCCTCAAAGTAAGTATGTTTTACAGAGAAAAAATATAACAGAAAACAAAGTATAGTGGTTATCCACAAAGAATAAAAAAACATCGTATGGTTGCCAATTTACTGAACGTCCCAGTGGCTACAGCATTTTGTTACTGAGCTCACAGTCATGGATTTGACCTCGGGTGCAATAGCTGCATTATGATTAGAATGAAAAGCACAAGTGTTTGTATACGTAGATTTGGGTTCTCCTGAACAATCCCAGCCAGATTTATAGTACGGTGTGCCTCATGATTTCATCTCGGGTTTGGTATGCAGAGTCTCAGTATTTTTTTTTAAGGAGCACTGACATCAAATTCACTCATGTCAAGATTTTTGCGTCAACGAGTAGCTATCGACCCCCTAGGAGCGATTCATGACCTAAAACGCATCCGAGGTACGTATGAATATCTGTAATATTAAGATATCCTCTATCGAACGTGGTTCAAAATGGGTCGAAAGCCTGCGAAATTGTAGTGCTCTCAGCGATACCTCACGGCCACGTCGAGGCCGCTGCACAGCTGCTGCTGCTTTCACAAAACATGGTGACGTCACGCACATTGGCATTTCGTCTGCTAGGAGTGCACGTGCAGTCAGTCCAGCTGTGTCTCTGATGACGTACACTAAAGCCCCTCACGCGTTTTTTACAGGCTAGGTTAAGTAGCGCCAACTCGTTCTTCGCCTCTCCCCTTAGTCCTGGCCTCGAGAAGGGTCCTCGTACTGCCAGTGAAACACAACTCGTTCGCCAACACAGGATTTACCCTGGAGCAGCTCGGCGCAAAGTGAAGCGAGCAAATGCGGCTGTTCTTCACAGGCATTCAGTCCCCCTTTTCATTGGTGTGTACGAAGTCGATCCGCTGGCTGCGTTGAGGTTCGTGGCTTGGAAAGGCATGAAACGTACGCCGCCCAATTTCTGCTTTTTCTGCGCTTCTACACGCAGGTTCTCGCTGCGCAGCGGTTCCCCGACATTCTGGCACGTGTTGTCACCCTGAACGATCGTACTCACGCTGTGGAGCACATGTCAAATCAGTCAACGCGACACAATGAATCGCACGCACGCTTTAGCACAGCAAGGAGAGCCATTAGTGAGAGCACGGTCGAGAGTCTGTTTTAAACACACTCAAATCGTCGACGTCATTGGTACTAGCGTATCGTCACTCAGGGTGGTATTTGTGGAATGTATCACTCCGGACACGTAGCACTAGTGTCAATGTCACAGGGCAGTCTATTTTTCGTTTTTTCTCCTTAGCTTTTTTACGCTGTTTAACATCGAATTAAAATAACTTCCACGCGGCGAATGCCATTCGAATTTGACCCAAAAGACCTATGCATACTAAGCGATCGAATGATGGGCACATCTCGATCTTGAAATTTGATGTCAGTGCTCCTTTAAGTCAGTATTTGCAAAACCACATTTCTAGTATGTTTGTAGGGATATACTAAAGGCAGGGATAACAGTATTTCACACTATGAATGGCAACCTGGTTGGTACTGATCGAAAGGTTTGCCCAATGGTCCCTGTTTATTTCCTTTGTTTCATGATACAAAATATTTGTGTATAATTTCATAAATTAATATTTATCTTGCACAACTAGGAAATTTTACCAAGTACTTTTGGTAATGAACTGTTCTTGTCTTCATTTTAGCAATGTGTTCAAGCTAAAAAAAGCTACAGCTACGCCTAATGTTAAAATTGTGGTCTTTGCAAGGTGTTTTTACGAAGTGTTGATTTTTATGAAGATTTGCTTTGTATACATTAGTTCTCTGCATGCACAAACACAGCAACTTAGTTTGACAGAGGTATGAGCTCGTGCAAGGCTCATAGAGGCTGAGTGGTAAAAATTCAACCATTGCAATGAAGAAATGTCAGTGTGTCCCCAGGTCACCCCTGGCATTATGAACATTGTCATGACACTTTTATTCAATTCACAGGCAAACGTCAGATCGGATCATGCTTCCCAAAATATAAACACCTAATAATTTCCACAGAGACACGCAACATGCAGTCACATGCTTTCAAATATTTAGGCCTGATACACCAAAGTTAACATGGAGCAAGCATTTTCAGTACTGATAAAATAGCATTTTCATGAGGCCTGCTGAAATGAAATCTCTGGCCATATAAAGTTTGTTCTTGGATAGTGAATGTTACAGCCACTTTCATGTAACATTTACATTTGTAATGCAAGTCGGTACATTACATAAGGCTCATGCAAAGTTGTTGGTGACTTGAATACTGAGACTGAAGAAGAAAAAAAACTTCATTTCTGTCTGTCAGAATAATGCTTAAGGCATAGTGAGAATTTTTGAAGGCAGCAAGATGAAACATCGATCTAATAACATCCAGGTGTATGTCTTCTACTTTGGAACAATTTAAAGGATCCGTAAACCACCAAACAATTTTTTGAAGCTGTGTAGTAATAGCAGAGTTAGACGCTTTTGATTATCAAAACCGTGGCGATCACTCCTTTCACTCTCTCCTGCTCTTCCCTCCGGTTCTATCTTCTCTCACGCTGCTTTGCCCTTTCGCCGAGCGCCCGTCCCATGCCCCTCGCAATCTCGCATACGTCATCGCTGACGGGCTGCTTGAAACACCATCTACTTCCGGTTGCCACGACTCCGGCTACTTTGGCCATCGACTCCGTCAGTTGCATTATATTGTAGCTGCATGCTTGTTGGTGAACTGTGGCTGCCGTAATCATGCCGGTATGGACTTTGCGTTGCGCGCACGCCTTGAAAAAGGATCCCCAACAAGATGGACCCATATGGGGACACGCCGTGCCTCGTACGTCTTGCACGCACGTGGGCAACACGACAAACAACAAGCAGCGAGGGCAGCTGCTTGTTGCAGACTGACCGGAAGTCGTAGGCTCTTGCTCGACCAATCACAGCATATTTGGCTCGGCGCGTGAGAGATATGGCACGGCGCGTCACGCGGAGGGCCGAAAGGCCTGGAAAAAAAAGAGGCATTGTTTCTTGGAAATCGTCGCGCCGGCAACTCGTAGCGCTGACACGTGTAGAATCGTTTATCGGGAGGGCATTCTGCACACAATGTGCGCGTTTACTTGAAATGTTTGAAAACATATCGTAGGTGGTTTACGGGCCCTTCAAAGGCTCCTATAAGAAAAGCGCACAGATATGGCTTAAAACCTAGCAGTAAGAATGTTTATTGACTAAAATTCACATGGCACCTCAAATTTCTCTTACTAGTGTGCCCTACAAAATTCAGATGCTCCAGGTGACACGGATATGTCCTATAATCCACCACTTTAAAGACCTTGTGGTTTTCTATGCAAGGCTTTGCTGCCGTGTTTCACATACCATAGTTCAAGAAAATGCTGCATCGCAGTCATTGACAGTCCTTATGTCTTGACTTCGTAAATGTTCTGTAGCTCTATGTACTCTATAAATGTAATATCTGCGTGGAATGAGGTTCCCTAAACTGGGATGCAGCATTGGGAATGGCAATACATGAAGGCATAATAAAACTGATCCGCTTGATTTTATCAACCGTGCTCTAGGTAGAGTTGTTTAGGTAAGTGTTTAGACAGTTTAATTACTGTTTATGCATTCACGTTGGTGACTCGAAGATTGTGTGACCAAGTTGACTGCAAATGTTCTAGCACCCTCATGCACTCACTGCTTTCTCAGTGGACTTGTTCAATATAGAAGTTGTGTAACTACAACATCAGTGAGCAACTGACTCAAAACAGTGACCACTGACCACTCTCTGCAAAGGTCCCCTTGTGACTTGAGTGTGTTAGAACACTTGCAACATCCGAGAGTTGTCTATGTGATTGATCTTAGTAGTGGTGATGTCAAGATATTGCACAAAGAAAGTACTGATAAACTGCAAGGGAGATCATGCTCTCAGAGAAATTAATGTACACTCGAAATCCAGCTGTATAAAAGTATGGATTTCTCTGTATTTTTAAAGACATGCAGCACCTTTCTGAATTTGACAGAGTAGTGTGTGCCTCCTGCACTATGTTTTTCTGTGGGTTTTGTGCAGAGCCAGTTAAACTGTAGTTTTTCTGGTTCTCATTCCTTTGCAAGTGCAGGCTTTGGTAGCATACATGGCACAGGATTAGATTATTAGCGGTGTCCCACAAATGTGGTTTTGTAATGCGAAAATGCAGAGTCAGGCTTTAGCACAGCGACATATTGAATCAGAAAGAATAACAATATCCTGCTTCGGTTACAGGATGCACGAGTGATTGACAAATGCGCAGTCCTGGATAACTTTAAGGACTGGACAGTAACCATTTGCAATATGCTTAACTGCTTTCAATTTATCGGCTGTCTCGCAAGTCACATCTGTGATGAAAAAACAATACATTTACATCCTCACTCACGACTTCAATGCATTGTAATGGGATACTATGCTAAAGACTGTGTGGACACTTATCCTGTGAGTGCATGGCATTTTACAAGCCAAGTTTGTCCACAGTTGCATATTTGTAATTTCAAAAGGGCCACTGAATGTGCACAATGCACTGCACTAGTACACAATTAACAGCTGCAGTGTTTGCGAAATTGTGCTAGTGGCAGATTTACATTAGGGGTGTGCAAAAAGTGAAATTTCACCTAAAAATCAAATCGAATAGTGCCAAATAAATGCCAAAAATATCAGATATTGAATTGCATACAATCATATTAAAAATTGCAAGAAATCGCAAAGACGTGATATCTGCTCGTGTGCTAGAGCTCATAATGTGGAGAGTGTATAGGTCAGCAAAACTTGTAGAGCTCGCTCAGACTCACTCGTGAAATAAATTTCGGGCTTTGCACTCACTCGGACTGATGAAAATTTTTCTGAGCCGGGCTTACACTCACGAAAATTTTCCTCAACCGAACTCAAACTCACCAAAATATTAATCACCTGAACTCACTGAGACTCACAGCTCGATCCGAGTCTGAGTGAGTCAACTCATGAGTACGTTAGCCTTGAATTAGCTTCTTCAAACCATGGTGTCAATACTCTTTGACATCAATATCTCACGTAATCGGTGCTCGTATTGGCGCTGTTTGACATAGTAGTTTCAAAAAAGAGTTCCGAGTGCGAACCAGTAAGGTGATTTTTCTTGGAAGGGATGACGGCATAACATTTTTTTATCGATACGTTTCCCGGGAGAGGTCAAGGCAACCCAGAATGCAATTCACACCTCTCATCAATTTAAATATTGAAATGGTGTATCAATGACATTGCTTTAGAATACCTGCGAGTTGAAGTGAGTACAAACATGAAACCACGTAAAGCTGATAATGGTGCTGACGATTACTAGATAGGGCCTTAGGTCGGCAAAAGTGGAGCTCACTCAGACTTACCGAACATGTTGCACTTATTTATTTATTTTATTTATTTAAAAATACCTTACAGGCTCTATTACGGAGCATAGAGTAAGGGGGGTACATAGGAAAGAATGCTAGTGGGTGATACTTCTGTCACAATACAAAGCAACTACAAAGCAAAGCAACTACAGAGCAACTAATAACTAATAAAAATACAAAGCAGGTAATAACATTGGAACTAATAGCAGTGGTTGCACAAATGACAAAGAGGGGCTTCTAGCAACAACAAGAATTTCCCAGCCGCAAAAAAGCACAAAGAACGAAAACAGAATTCAAGGAGGTCATACAATGCTATTGAGATAAATTTATCATTAATTGCTCGCGAAAATTTTCATGGTTAGTTGAATTGACAATGACGTCGGGTAGGTCATTCCAGAGTGCTATGGCACGAGGCAAAGCCGATGTATTGAATGATTTTGTTTTTCCAAAGATGCGTGTGATGCTTCGCTGATTGTGAAGTCGTTTAGACATGCGCAATGGTGCCGTTAGTGGGAAGGGTGGTGGCCTGGACGCGTGAATATATTTATGAAGCAAAGACAGGAGGGCAACTGTGCGCCGTATGTCTAGATGCTGTAATGAAAGGTCATGTTTTATTTGTGTGACGCTCGAGGGGCGACTGTAAATACGTGAAATGAACCGTGCCTCCCTGTTTTGCACAGCTTCTAGCTGGTAAATGAGATAGGCTTGGAAGGGGGACCATATGGGTTTTGCCAATTCCAGCTGTGGGCGAACAAAGGTTAAGTAAGCTTGTTTGCAGACGTTATTTGGCGCATTTCGTAGGTTTCGACGTAAGTATTCCAGTGTTCTTGATGCGTTTGCAAATATGTAGGTTACATGTGCCGCCCAAGTAAGATTAGAAGTGAAATGAACGCCGAGGTACTTATACGAAGACGACCGTGACACGTTGGAATTATTTATGGAGTAATCAAATTCAACAGTTAATTTTTTTCGACTAAAGGATATTACATTACATTTTGATAAATTTAAAGTCATTTGCCATGTACCACACCAGTTGTTAATGAGATTAGGGTCTTTTTGGAAAGCCAGGTGGTCATAGGTACTAGTTATAGAACGGTATAGAATGCAATCGTCAGCAAAAAGCCGTATTGACGAAGAAATATTAGTTGGAAGATCATTAATATAAATTAGAAAAAGTAGTGGCCCCAAGACGCTACCCTGAGGCACTCCGGAGGTGACATCGGAAATTGGAGAGGAAGAGGTATTAACCAAAGTGAACTGCTTTCGAAAAGACAAAAAGTTACGGATCCACGATAAGGTTAGCGAATCTAAACGAAGTTCTGTTAATTTTGAAATCAGACGGGAATGAGGTACGCGGTCGAATGCTTTAGAAAAATCTAGGAAAATGCACTCAGTTTGTAAATTATTATCCATATTGAAGTGAAGATCAGTGGTAAATTCTAGTAATTGGGTGTCGCAAGAAAAACCTCGCCTAAATCCATGCTGATTCTCAAAAAAGAAGTTATTGGTTTCCAAGTGACAATAAATGTGCAAAGAAATGATATGCTCAAGCATCTTGCAGTATATGCATGTTAGTGATATGGGGCAATAATTTTCTGGTGAGTATCTATTGCCACTTTTAAATGAGGGAACTACTTTACCTATTTTCCAATCAGCCGGCAGTTGTCCTGTTGATAAAGATTGCGTGAAGATGTGGTACAGGATTTTACTTGAGCATAATGACGTGTTTTTGAGCACCTTAGAATTAATGTTGTCAATGCCTGAAGAAGTTGATAATTTAAGTTTTTTAATAAGATTCGCAATCCCTTCAGTGCTGACGGCAATAGGTTCCATGAATGTATAATCAAACTTGGGAACTTCTGGTCCTCTGGAATGATCTTCACACGTGAACACAGATGAAAAAAATGAGTTCAACACTGAAGCGCTGTCTACATCTGATAGAGGCATATGGTTAGCATCTTGTGTACTGACAGATGTGGTAGCATTGTGAGGGGAAATTACTTGCCAGAATTTTTTCGGATTAGTATTTAACATGGAAGGCAAATCGTGTGTAAAATATTTAGATTTCGCTTTGCTTACAAGAGAGCAGTACTCTTTCAAAGAACCCTTGTAGTTTTCCCAATCTGAAGGGCTCGAAGTGCGTTTTGCAATGTTGTAGAGCCGCTTCTTCCTTAATCTACGAGACTTAAGCGTTTTGTTAAACCAGGGATTTTTATTGTTGTTAGAGATAGAAATTAGGGGAATATATTTGTCAACCAAAGTAATGATTTTGTTTTTGAAGAGAATCCAGTTTTCATTGACTGATCGGTACGGGAAAGATGGAAGAAAAACCTGATCGTAAAAAGCTTCCAATTCATCACTTATACCTTCGTAATTACCTCTGTTATAGTCCCAAATTTTTTTAATAGTGCTATGTAATACGTGGGTTGGGAGGCTAAGTGTTATTTGAAGTAGCTTATCGTCACTGAAACCATCTACGTGCAGAATAGAACTAACAGTCTCATGAGCGTTAGTTAAAATTAAGTCTAAAATGTTTGTACCACGAGTCGGTTCCTTGACAACCTGAAACAGGTTATAATCTAGGGTTAGACTTACAAATTCCATTGCTTCGTGGCAGGTAGAAGTTAGGAGAGACCAATAAATCTGGGGAAAATTGAAGTTGCCGAGTAAGTATGTATTATAAGGAGAGCATTGCCGAATTGCAGAATCAACGCTTTTGCGCAGCTCTTCTACAAACGAGTTATCTGAGTCGGGAGGGCGATAGCAGACACCTATCAATATTCTTGTTGCTGATGTGATGCATGCAGTCCATACAATTTCAATAGTGGAGTCTATATTGATGCAAAAAGATGACAGTGTTTTTTTAATAGCTAGTAGAACGCCACCGCCTTTTTTTTTATCGCGGTCATGCCTAAATATGTTGTAGGCGCTGTTAGCGGGGAGAAGCTCGTGATCGGGTATATCAGAATGAAGCCAAGTCTCTGTTATTGCTAAAATGTCAGGGTTACTATCTTCTAAGAACGAGCAAAGCTGATCGCGTTTGGGTATAAGGCTGCGTATGTTAGTAAAACATAACTGCATGAATGGTGACTTGTTATAGTAATTTGAACACTTAGGTTCCGTTGCGTGTGCATGCTTTCTTTGCTATGTTTTGTGAAGTACAACGGAATCTGTTGCGTGATCATACATGTAGGTCTCGTTAGCAATGCGCAGTTTGTCCACTGACAACTTTATTGGCTTCTTGGACTTTGGACTCACTAGTGCTCGCCCACATTTTTGCGAGCCAAATTCGCTCGGATTCACACTTGTGAAACTTTTCTCAAATTGGACTCACGGCTCGATCTGAGTAAGTCGACTCATGGGCGAGTTAGCCGATCTATGGGAGAGTGACTGCTACTGAAAGACTACAAATTCTCATGCAGAGATGCAAGCCGTTTCTTATGACACAACTTCAGGCTCCCTCACTGGGACGATACGGTGTTTCCTGCAGCCAAAAACTTGCGCTCGCTGGGCACCTCAGTGTCAGTGATAAAGAGGTATCGCCTGAATAAAGTGCAGCGTCATGCTCTATCAAGTATTTCATAGGATCATTCTTCCTTAGAAACAGGGACTCATTAAAGTATTTTTTGACTGTTACATCCTGATGCTCATTTCTCACGCCAATAGTTAAACAGTCTCCAAGACTGTTCCCTGGCCTTTGATAGAGCCATGACTTGTCGATGACTTCGAGCGTAGCTTTTGATTTTGAAACTGCTTTGACACAAGAGGCACTGTAAACGGTAGCAACTTTAGCCACCTCATCCTAATCAAGTGGCAACATTGATTTCTGTCATCTTATAGATATTCATCCAGTTAAATTATTTGATGCTTCAAATACGAGCTCTTCAAATCAAATCAGAATATTCGTGCACCCCTAATATATATTCTTTCTTAATGAACGATTTACTATTGCTCATTGCTATTTTGCATGTTTATGCATAAATTGCTGGCTTTGTTGTATAATGCAGCCACTACAACAGTCTGGCAAGAGTCTAAATTTATATCACCAGCTGTTATACGTTATACAAGTGCTAGTTTATAAAAAACTGCAATAAACAGCAAGCATTCATTGATAAGATAGTCGCTTTTGTCGAGGTAAATTTCTGCACAGGAACAGTACATCTTGTGGCACTATGCTGAATTGTATGCTAATATTATTCAGTTGATCTCATCACTCTGCCCTTTTGCCAATTGCAAAAACTATTTCAAAAAGGCATCACTTCAAAATACTGGTTTAAATCACTTCTAGGTTTATCGTTTATACTGAAGGTACTTGAAAGTCTGTATGTGTGTGGATTTATTCCAGAAAAATAAAGACAAACAGTGGTGCAGCCAAATGTTCCTGAACTATAATGGTCTTACAAGAGCTACTGAAATCAGGAATCAGTTGCGGAAGTTGCTGCAGAAACATAAAGTGCCCCTCGTCTCTTGTGAAGGTGCGTTATACACACATTAGCATGGCTTTACCTTTGATTTGCTTTTAACATTTCTAATTGCAGGAGATACCGACTTGGTGTGCAGGTGTATTGTAGCAGGGCATTTTGCCAATGCTGCGTACTTACATTATTCTGGAGAATATCGCACTGTATGTGGAGATCATCCATTGGCCATACACCCCACATCTGTACTGTACACACAGAAACAGCCAAAATGGTAAGGACTCTCACAAGTTGTTTTTTGGTGCTTGTTTTTCAGTGATTTTGGTTTCGCAGGGTTGTGTTTGGAGAGCTCACCCACACCAGCAGGGAGTTCATGAGGAACGTCACTGTTGTTGAGTCATCGTGGCTGTATGAGCTCGCACCAGGGTTCTATCAGTACGGCACAGTAAGCAGAATTTCATAAAACTTAAAAACTTTTTTTATTCACAAATGTACACTATTCACACCATTTCCCATTGTGTTGCAGGACACAGATGCTAGAAGAGGAAGCATATTATGAAGTACACAAACTTTCACTGTATTTGTTCAGGTCCAAGAGGTGTGCTAATACCAAAACATAAAACACTATCATGCATAATGCATTATCGATGTGTTTATACAGGAACATCTTGCCAAACACCGAAGCCAATAGGATCACCAGATTTTGAAATTACAAGAGGAAGTTTGGCCGAATCTGAATGCTATCCACTGAAATAAAGTTTTAGACGCTGCTGAAAACATGTAATCTGATACATGAATGCTATAATACTTGTTACTCGGTATTGGGAAATTAAGTGCTTGGAAGTTATCTGAACCGGGCTGCCTGAATACATTGCCTTTTAATATTTATAGCAAGGTGATAATAATAATTTATTGTGTTTAACATCCTAAAAATCACTATACGATTAAAAGAGATGCCCTAGTGGAGAGCTCCGGAAATTTCGACCACCTGGGGTTCTTAACGTGCACCCAAATTCTTTGACGTGCACCCATATTTGAGTAGACGGGCCTACAGCATTTTTGCCTCCATCGAAAATGCAGCAGCTGCAGGTGGGATTCGATCCTGCGACCTGATGGTCAGCAGCCGAGTACCTTAGCCACTAGAACACCCCAGCGGGGCGAGTAACAATAACTCGATGACAGAGTCACTGTTTTGTGCCCAGTTGAAAGAATTGGCATAAATTAGGCAAAAAGAAAGATAACAAACTTTATTAAAGTGTCCCTGCTTGGGTCAAAGGTGGCGCGAGGGCCGGGAGACGAGCCCCTTCGTAACCCCCTTCCTCAAAAAAGTTGTTTTTCTTTGTTGTGCCCAAGGAAGCAGATGTGTTTCAACAGTGGCAGCGCAACATTCTGAGAGCAGACTAGACGCCTGAGCTCAATTCCCAAATATTTTAGCACCGCATCGTGAAAACAATCCCGTCACGACACTTATGCTTTAATTCAAGCAAGAAAAAAAAATAGTGACTTGCCGCTCGAGTAACGGCACAGGATAATGAAGTCCACGATCGAATTGACTACAAATACTTAAAAATTTAGCATTCCACATCACCTTGCATGAGCAGCTTCAAGCCTTTCTTATTCATTTTTTCAGAACTTCTATTTTCGCTATTGCCCCATACGCGAACAGTCATGAGCATTTTGCTAATATATATTTTTTTGTTAAACTGAATATGCAGGTGTCCGACGTATCTCAGTAAGCAAAATTGTGCCACAATATTTATTATGGCTCCCTGTTATACGAAGGTGCCCCTAGTGCTGGTGCATATATATTTAGTTATCTAATCACTATGCTTTTAATATTTGTCAAATCTTAATTGTTTGATTCATCGCACCGGCCAAAACTGATTTCGTGTTCCTACACTAAATCTGCTTTTCTTAATGAGTAGTGTTTATTGGGAGAGAATAAAACTTTTAAGAGATTTTTGTGAGCATTGCCCTATTGTTATGAATATGTGTGACTACAAAAAAAATTTACAAAAAGATAGCTAGAGCTTCATAATGCTCACATGGGTCTAGAAAAATGGGGCTTACAATATAGTCTAGGAAACTCGAGGTCGTAGCACTTTTTAAAAATTTATTCTCGACACTTGACCTCATATTTTAGACAAAGTGCAATATGTTAATTCTGAAAAAAAAAAATAGAAGTTCAGGTTGCAACTATGTAATTAATTAAATGTTTCATACTCGATCATATGTATAAATGTTTTATTAGCAGATGCTTCGTTTCTGATCACAGAAGGAAAACAGCCAAATGCACACCTCATCCAAATAAACATACAAACAAAAACGTGCGATTAAAGTTGGAACTGGAATTGTTGCCTTAGCCACAAGCCACACAAGCCATGGTTATTTAAAAAGAGACGTGATATCGCAAAGCGGTTGGTAGCAAAAAAAAAAAAGCTTCACGAAATATTTATTTCCCACTGCCAAGAAAGATACTGTATGCATGCGCAAGTCGCAGAAAAAACACAGCGGAATCTGAACGCATGTCGGTACATTTGGTCAATTTGCATCGCTGAGCAGACGACTAGCGGTGAGTGGACGTAAGTAGAGTGCCTCAAATAGTTCGCCTCCGCTGGGGCGCTGCCATCGAGGCACTCTTCCTCTATGCTCTAGACGTAAGGTAGGCGCATAGCGTTTGCTAATATACACTAGAGGGAACTCTGGCGCTAGTGTCTGTGGGAGCTGCAACGCACAGCGCTTCAGCGAGCATGGGAATGATTGGTAGTCCTACAGTGTTTCAGAAGGGGGTAGCTCAGCGAATCGCTCAGATAGATCGGATCTCGCCGGAATGGTCGTCTGCACACAAGCAGATGCTCCTCCAGACGCTCATTGTGAGTAACGTTTAATTTTTTCAGATTTTAATACGAAATAAGCCAAAAATTACAGCTGTTATGTTTGTTTATTTTGGCTTTTTCTTTTCAAAGCGAGGTGGCGTATCTTCACGTAAAAGCCGTCCAGACGTGCGTAGACTGTCTACGTGCTGTCTAAGAATTGGAACACAGCCAGGATTCTCTGCGGAGCGTTATCTCTGAAGTTGACAAATTTATCGCAGACGCAGAAATTCAATGCTTACAAAAAAAAGTCTGAGTTCATACGGATCCGGACCCCATATTCGAGAAAGCAGCAATGACCACACATAGAAATACACCTAATCAGCTGGCCATTAAAAGAAGTGAAAACACTGCGCATATTAGGTCTGCGGATTCAGGACGACGGCAGGGTCGGTCACACTTTAGCCAAATTGAGAAAAACCATGACAAGCGTAGCGCGCATGATCTGCCGAACCACCAGAAATAAGAAAGGTTATACAGAAGCAAAAACGGAACATGTTAGTGCAGGTTTTATCATAAGTCGGGTGAAATATGGCCTCCTGTTCCAGAAACGATCAAACAGAGAGACTGACCAGGTAAACGCTTTAATACGCACAGCGTACGAAATAGCCCTAGGACTGCCACACAATACAAGCACTGAAAAACTTGAAGACCTGGGCATCCATAACACATTTGAAGGGCACGCAACATCAGTTATTCTCGCACAGAGGGAACCACTAAGCTTAACAGAGCAAGGCAAAGCGTTATTACTAAAGCTGGGGTACCCACTAAGGCCACAAAATTCCGGAGATCAGACACTTCTACCCCATGAGGTCATAGACCACATAATGGCTTCTCCCATTCTCAAAAACAAGTCCAGAGCTTTGCAAAGGTACTTCGGACACCATCGAGATGTGTCTTACACCGACGCGTGCAAAATAGCCAAAGACAAATCAATTCAGTAATATCACAGCAATTGTACGAATTGTCTCAACTAGCACTATAGTTAACTATAGTTAGCACATCAGTGTTAGAGTTATACATGAGTTATACATGACCCGAGACGCCACAGTTATCTCGGACTCGCAGTCAGCATGGCGCCAATACCTGACCGGAATTCTGTCAAAAGCTACAGCTAAAATTTGAAGAGCATACTTTGAACAATATCACGTCATTTGGTGTCCAGCGTACGCGGGGCTAGAATGTAATGAGAGGGCCGATGGTATAGCTCGTGTCATTCTTTTCCGAGTACCGACAGCGACTCTTGAACAACATCCAGTCAGCCTGCGCGACATCCTGGAGACAAAGAAAACAAAGGCAAAAGTTCAGCCCACCACACCCTAAAATTGATATTAGGCAGGCGACTGGCACTGGTTACAGACAAACACCTATGCCAAACTACTGATTCTCAACAAAATTCACCTAACACAGTACCCCAACAGATATCAGTGGTGTTGGGAGCGGCCATCTGTTACCCACGTAACAAGGACGTGTAGACTCGGGCCACCCAGAATTAATTCACCCTTATTAAGGAGAAACCCAGTTGAGAGGCAGTGGGAGGTCTGCCTTGCGACAGACAGACAAAGAATTTTATTGGGTCCTGAGAAACGCTGCTCCTTTAGAGCAATGTTGCGGGCTGCTCTCATAGAAACGGGGAGGCCTAGCCTCACCGCCACATCGTGGGCTCTCTGGACAGCCCGTAGTTGTGGTAGCAACTCTGAACTTTGTAAGGCAGAATCCCAATCTTCTGTGAGCCGACTTGGGCCCCGTAACGAGGGGCACTGCCAGAGCATATGTGCTAAGTCACTAACCTCACCACAACCAGGACAAGTAGAGTCAAAAGCCTCTGAGGAGACTATGCTGAAGAATAAGCTTGGAGCAAGGATCGAGAGAGCCAAGTTGCTCGGCTCGATCAGGCCCAGCGAAATGCAAAGTCTAGTGGGGCCCTGGTTTATAGGAATCGCCCACCTTCACCCTAAATCCGTCTAGTACAATTCAGTTTCTACTACTACTACTGCTAAGTGAGCGTGAGCTCGCCATTACCATGTGAGCAAAATGCTGCATTGCGAAAGCCGTAAGAAAGAACGCCCGCACACCTCTCCAGTCAGGTAAATAATTTTATTCGAACACGTGATAGAACGACAAAAATGACTGAACTCAGCATAATGAGCGGTCACTTGTTTTGTCTAGCACGTCTCGGCTTCTCCATATTTTCCATAATCCACAAAATGATCCACATTCTCGCTTTTACGGCACAACTTTCATATTGCGGAACAGGTCAGCCCATGTCTTTAAAGGAGTCGGAGATGCCTGACAACCAATGCTCTGGTTATCTTGAACTGCAAGGACGGACCGCGGACGCCTATCCTGATACTGGGTCTGAAGAGGCTGTCTGGCCTGGATATTATTTGGCTCAATGACCTGGGTGTTCATTGTAGTGGCAACCTTCTGGGCCCACGATTTGCGGGACGGCACTTGGCTGGTCTGGTCCTGGCAGGCCTCGGCGCAGGTAGGCCAGTTGGCACTGCTGAGAATGGTCTCTCGTAAGGCAGCCTGAGCTCCACGAGGCTCTCTGGTCTCGGCCTTGGCATGGACAGCATTAGTTGGCTGATTGAAACAAGGAATTCTGTGCGGGGCCTTTGGTTGCTTGGGAGGCGCGTAATGCTCTGGAGGGCCATTTTGAAATAGGGAGTGGTAATAAAGGCGTCGCTCCACAGGCCTCGAACCGCGCACTTGCCGGAAGACCGGGGGGACAGGTGGTCCTCGTGCTTCGTACGTTGCGGGGTCTCCGCTCCCCAAACTTCTGGTTCCGGTAACAATGGCCGTCAAGTGCCGGCTACTGGAACCACATATGACTTTTCCACATCCTCTCGTCTCACCGGCAATGTCGACGACCGATCAGGGCATGTCTTTAGGTGACTGATG